AACCCATCTTTCCTACAACAGCCAGAGTATAGAGTCGAGACATGTAACCTAAGCTATCACCTACCTTCTTCCATTTCCCATATTTAATGGGTTGCATCACGGTTGGAGTAGAAAACAGCTCTGTTCGCATTGGAATGGAGTGCCCGGTCGTGCATAGGCAGGTTGACATATGATCTAAGCCGACAGTTTCTCGATCGTTAGCACAGTTGTACGTAGCTTCAGCTCTCTTAGTTTCTGCGTAGCGATATGGACTCGGCTATTAATCATGTTAGATTAAATGCCAATCACCTCAAGTTGGAGTTGGATCATACTGTATGCTGTTCGAGTTTATAGCTGGGGTTGTCATTGCTAAAAGATACGGTATATAAGCTGTGCTTGTATTAACTTGGTTTATCAACTGTAGAAGTGAGGATATTCTATGCCATGTCCTATACCTAAAAGTACTCCCTCGACCACTCAGCCATAAAAGGTGAATGGTAATGAACAAGTAAGGCCCGGCTTCTACCCTGCTATGAGGGCATCGCCCGCTCCTTGTCAATTAAAACAGATACCAATAGTTACCCCAAACCCGCTTATACCCTAACAATTAACAAAATCGCCCCCCTAGTGATCTTGTCCTCATGGCCACATAGAAAGAAAGCCGCGTGAAACCGGTAAAATCGTAAACCTTGTCGTTTCTTCCAGCCTTATTATTTCACTACTCCTTCGTCTCATCATCGCTCCTGGCCTCGCTGCTATATTGCAGCCTCCCTAGCCGCACACACTCGATAGTAGACAGACACCTGTAGCTACGTTTAACCCGCTTATACCCCGATGAATGCGCTATGTGCCAGGCCATCATATACCATTTACGCAATATACAGTCCGTTCATGTAGTATTTGGTGGTATTAAATGACGACTTAGATAACCCTTCCCGTATTAAATGCTATAGGAAATGGTTACCTTGAGAATTTATACCTAGTAGTCCCAATATTCAATATTCCGTCACGGCCAACCCGGTGAGAAATTGTGAAGGCTCTACTTTCTACTTTCAGGTATAGCATTGTGTATTGGTATGGAATGTCCCTCCTTACTCTTAGACTACCTAGCCCACATGGCGTAGTGGTTTAACGCCTGGATGTGTGTTGATCCATGCCCACAGGCCGCAACACAAATAGGTTCGAATCCTACTATGGTCAAACCAAAAACGGTCCAACTCAGGTTTTTCCTTAAGCACTGCCGGGCGCTAAGGGTGATTCCATCTCCGTTATAAGAAGGCGTGTTCGACGGTTTTTCCCCTGATCAAATCGGCTATCTGGCGCCGGCGCTAACCAGGTAAAATAATGCTAGAGGCAGGTAGGGGCTGGGGATGCTATAGGCAGGAAGTGGAGGATCTCTCATGTTAGGCGAAACTCTAGCTCTATCTCCCTTTGAAAGAGGTACCCTAAACGTCTAAAGCGTCATAGGTGCGCCTGATGTAGCTGCCTAGCTTATAGCCACCAATAGACGTAAACGTTCTCATCATCTTAGACTACCTAAGTAACTCACATGCCGTATCTTTTAGCAGAAGGGCATACTAGGTATCGTAGGCACATATTAAAGATTACCGTAAGCACTTATTATATCGATGTTACTTCGGATTTATACAGGAATCTACCGATTTATTCAATTACATAAGAGTGTACGCCAAGTAAATATTTCAAGTTGATAATTGCTTAACCAATTATTTACTCATAACCTTCTATCTGGTGCGGGATATTCTAACAATTTTAATTCCTCTCTGAATAACGCCTTTTAGAAGTAGCGCAATAAAGCTACCAGCCTTGCCGGGCCATTATCCGGGGTTTGTCGAACGAAAATACTCCTTCTAATAATACAACCACGTTAATGTGCTATCCTCCCTCGTCCGTCCAAATTATACCCGTTAGAAAGCCTCCGCAAGGCTCCATGATAGGGAAAGTTTCTCATTCCATAAATCAGTGATTGATTATCTTGTTAGAATACCTCTTGGTTTCATACCATTGATCTAACCTTAACCCACCTAGTCCGTGATACCTTACGACTTAGTTATGTACTTGTTAGCCAACATGTTATGCCATGTGTTATATTGCATCGAGTAGGTATATGTTTGGTGTTTCGATAAATACGGATAGGTAATGATAAAGAATAAAGACTTCAGGGCTTCATACCTGTAGAATGCTAGCCTATCAATTATGGTGTTGTAATAATACCCATAAAGTGCCTTAAACTTCAGTTCCCAAGGTTTCTACTACCATGTCGTGGCGCTTTATAATACCCCTTACTACAAGTAGCAAGCTAATTATCTTCCTTGGGGGAACTCGCCGCGAATAGCACACGTAGCTTTCGTCATACTAGTACCATAAGGTGAAATTAAACAATATAGAAGCAACTTGGTTGTTTAGGGGGGAAATTCAACCCAACTACAAGAGTGGGCGGCTATACATACATACACGTAAGTGCTAAACATATTTATGTCCCGGGTATTACTTACCTATTGTCACGAGGTGGAACCAAACAGTAGGGGAAAAACTTCGTTGTTCCACGAGGAACTCTAATCTATCTATGAGGGCCTGTGTCTATACATACTGAACATGTCATTTGTTCTAGATATCTCATCTAGAATCCTGACACCTAGAAGCACAACTTTTGACACTATCCAACAAGAGTAATTGAACCTTGTTCCCAATCTCTGTCCTTATGATACTTCTAAACAGCGAGCACTGTTAGTTCTCATGTCGATAATAGTCGGAGCGTGCTACGCTGCATATCATGGCGCAATCCTAGCTTTCCTGCCTTACACATCTGGACAGTCGTTGGCGGTTAGTCTCATTTGCGGGCCTTTCAGAATATAGATAGTAGATTCGATGTGATTCATTCAATGTGGGTCGGTATATGGTGTATTTTACCTGGTTCGTTGGTAGAATTTTCGTTCATCTTTGTTAATACTTCAGAGATTTGCGAACGGAATTAAAAAGAACGAGACAAACCGCGATGATGGTTGTCCTGCGTATCACTTAATTTCATTCTCACTTACCTCCCATTTACCTGTATAGTCGGTATGGAAAGCTAGGGAGATAAATGCTCTAAAACGAACAAGCTACATACCTAGGTAGTTAAGGTCGACCCTCGCACTATCCGTTGTTAAGGCCCGGACATGTCAGGGTATGAGTGAGTAAAGGGTATCTACAGTGATCTATCAACTATCCACTATGTAAACAGCGCACGGCGTTCTCGTAAGAGGATACAAGGCTAGGCGTTATTAAATCAATACAATATATTACTTGGTCTGCCTACCCTAGACACTCACTCTGTGTATGACATCAGTCAACGGGTATATACCCTGACAGGACGGTTCCTATCTCTACTTGAATTTAGAGTAGAACTTGAGCGATGCTTAGCCTATGTACTCTGATCTCTTAATCATTAGAGGAATACTCCTGAGCATCCTTTGGTACCTATTAATCATATCCAGTCATCTCATATTAGAGAGGAATATTGGTCAAGCCAAAATAGTTGCTATTACACTTAAACAGCCCTTGCCCTTTAACTATGATACAGGTCCCTAGTTTTTATTGTCATCATAGCCTTGCTAATTTCCGAAAAGCTACTTTTCTAGATCGCTCTTCTCTGAAGATAGCCGGAATGTGCAAGAGTCCGAGGGATGTTCACTTAAAGGACCGTACGAGCTGTTTGTAACTTCAACGCGGTTCATAGACTTGTACCATTCCCAGGCTTCAAGGCCAAACTACAATACTATCAAGTAAAGCCATACCTAGGGTCCCCATTGGGATTTTAGACGAGATATTTCCAACAAAAGAGACATGCGTCGACTATAGTCGTAGGCTCCCATAGTTACAGATCCTTAAATAGCAAAGTTATTTCCATCCTTCTTGTTCTATGTTAAAATGAGCGGTCAAAGATTACTTTCGGATATAGCACATGGCATCTTTGTGAGCATGCTAGGTAGACTCTAATATAAGAAGCGTGGCGAAAAACGGGATAACCCTCGTCCTAGCCCAACGTACATCACCTAGACGTGAGTCTAACGAACAGCCGTGTGGTGACTATAATGAGACTATAATGAGACGGTTTCAAGAGCGACAGAGACGCACGACACCGTGGGTTGAACGGCAATGAAGACAATCGTGGTAATAAGCATAGCTAAATCACAGTCAACACCGCCGTCGATAGCATTAGCAAAATCAGCACGCATCGTGATACCGAACGAATAATAAGTGGCGGCATCAGTAGTACCGCCGTCTATAACTGGAAAACAAAAGAAGCAGCTACAAGGTCGAACCGATTGTGTCGGTTAGGTATAGATCAGACCGTGCGCTTAGAGACCAAGAATATCGCTTCGCGCAGACTGCAGGCACCAGCAGCATGTCTCGTAGTTATGGACCATGCGATTTTGATGGCGGGGGGGAGAATCGTAGTTACCGAAGAGTCCGATAGAGGCCGCCTGTACCGAAAACTTGGTCGATGGGTGCGTCGTGAGCGACGTCGTGACTCCTCTCGGTTCTGATATGCTGCTTGCGTATTCTGTTATTAGTCGTACGGACTCGGGCGTCGGAACCATATGTAAGGTCCAGATCACTGGCGTGCAGGCCAAACCCGAACAGCGCGAAGCTCATGTTGTACGTGGCACACCGAGTTAATTGTGTCAACGCCTGCACCATCGATAGCTGCTCCATTGATCTCGTTCTCGGCCCTGACCACCGTCGAGTGGCTTACCATGGACGTGGGTTCGATCCATCAGACGTCGTCCGAGTACCTGTCGAGAGCGTCTCTGACATCGATTGTATGGCCAGGCTTTAAAGCACAGGCTTGATCGTCCACGTAGTGACAGCACAACCAAGAGGTGGCCATCCATATAGCGGTATGAACTTCTCAAGTCCCTCCAATTGGGTCAAAACATATCGCGCTTCTAGATCACCACGATGTTGGTTGGACGAAGTAGTGGAGTGACGGAACTCCTCCGTGTCTGAATATGGACGACATGGCATCGGCGGCTGTTATCGGTGGCATAATGACTCTTGATCTCCAACATCATGGTACTAACTCGTCCGCCTTCGTCTGCCTGTTATTCTCCTGTTCGGCATACTCGGCCGACGACTTGGTCGGCCTCGCGTTGGCCCTGGCTGGGTCAAACGACTACGATGAACACATCATACTTACACTCGTACGTAATTCATCACGCAGGCTCGAGTACGCTTTCAATTAGTTGCGCAGCTATCGATTTCGCATCCCCCATCGTGCCGACGGTCATAGGAACTGACAATATCACTATAACTGCAAAGGCTAGGTACTTCTCCGGGACGATCATGATCGTCATGGATCACGGCTTGATCGTGGTCACTGACGATATTGGATACCCTTTTTCTGGCGGAGACAATAACCATAAACACGAGCGTCAGGTGCAGTCACATTGCGCGATGCTAGAAACAGATTCGCTCACGAGCCGACGCCGTCGAACTGATCATCAATACCGATCATAGTAGAAAGCATAAATATAGGATTGACGGCAGCATCTATGATCTGCGGCAGTGATGCAGCGAAGACGATATTGACGACATGAACTACAACAACATCAAGAGATGGACATCTAACTCAGCGGTACGGTCGAAGAGATACTCGGTTTTCCTTAATCAGACCATAATAAGACATCAAACCGAATTAAGTTCTCGAAGACGTGCTCGATCAACAACAGCATAGGCCGTCAGTTGCTGAGGTCGTGGTGCGGTCAGATCAAACGCCGTGTATTTAATACTCAAATGCGAAACGTAGCGTCGAAGAACAGCACCAACAAGCCGCCGACCAACAAGGGCAGGCTCACGAACATCGGTAACGTAACAAATATGATGAGCAACCTTCGACTCCCCAACAGAGGCGGCCAAATGGAACACAATTGGCAGCCAGTCAATAGGAACGATCAACGTCGATCAAGGAGCTTGGTTGTGTCCCACAGGAACATAGTGGCCGAGCAGAATGAGCCCGACTGGACCTCCGATCAGCCAACCGCAAGGAACAAGACCGTCGACACGACTCTGACCATTTTCGATATGCAAAGTACTAGGCGCGCACCCTAAATAATGCCCTGTATTATATCGCGCGACGAGAGTAGCATCATACCTAAAGGGCCGCCTTACCTCTCCAACATCAGCGCCGACGAGTATGGGGTTAGATACGGCAAAGCCAACGCCCACACAAAAGCGGCAACATGATATAGATAGATACTGTACCAGTAGACCTCAGAGGGGATTGTGATCGAAGGCGTGCGCAGCAAGGTCTTCCATGCGAAGAATTGGTCATTTCACACGTGTTGACCTGCCCAAGTGGTCATTTGGGCCCTCTTCAAGACCCCCTCTCAGCTGCCCGAAGCAGTATCGACGATCACGAAGACGACCGGCTACTATTGGATGAACGCATCATGGGGTGTTAGCACCCACCTAGCGACACTCACGCGCATGATAGCCGATGGTACACATCGAAAGATCACCAATCTGCTGGAAGTCATGAGAATGCTAAACAGATCGTAGTGTGTCTGGCGACAGTCGCTATATCGCTCACCTACCCGGCTAGAAAAGATGACACGGACGGCACGGTCGGCATCCATAAGTGGACGTACGGCATCAGCGTCTAGGTGTACAAGGCGTTCGGAATTAACTACGTGGATTTCCATGGCCCATCTCGGCAAGGCTCGGCCGGCGTCGGACCAGGAATACTCGCGAGAGACGGGAACAACCTGTTCGCCAACGTGGAAAGCCGGGGCTGCGTGTTGAATAGCAAATTGAAGTCATACAGAGGTCATACAGAGGTACTCTGGTCCTCCTCTACCTTAGCTGGGATCTATGGCTATATATGAGATGTTGTCTACCATCATCTGCCCCCGTTCCTGGAAACGACCATCACCGAACGTGACGATGACCCTCTTGCTCTTACATGCCTTGGCCTAAGCCATCGTGTAGACTCGACCTCTCGTTGCGAACGACATATACGCCACGTCCATCAACGCCGAGCTACTATTCGGCTCTCGCCAAACGCTAGCTACCGCACGCTTTATGACTTCTATCGAGTTGGGTACATTCTTGGTCGATCTTATTCTCGGGTTGATCGCCACGACATTGCCGACATCGCTATAACCACAGCATCGAGTTCATTTGGCGTAGGCTACCCGAGAAGCTGAGGCTCGCGTCGGTGGTCGTTCCGAGACCGTCGTGTATATTAGACTGGGCTTATTCTTAACCATTGGACATATAATCGTTGATAGCGAACTGACGGCTATGAAAACTGGCTATGGCATTGTACCGGTAAGTTTGGTAAGTTAAATCAAGCCAAGCATATTCACGTACCTTTAAGGCTCCGGTACCTACCTAGCCATATCCTCGACCTTAGGTAAGCCTATGAGCCCTTATAAAGCCATATCTCCAGCCACATCAACCAAACAGAAACTCAAAATCAGCCGACCACCAATCATATTACACCGAAAAAGATTTACCATCTACATGTACCCAAGCCAGGTCAGGCCAGGTCCATCTAAGTCAGGTCAATTGACGTACATAGGTAGTACCTGTAGTACCTATCACAACAATGGCGATATACCGCTAACCTTAGCGGTAATACTAGGCTCACTATAAGTGTATCTAATGCAAAAGACATTCCAGATTACTGGATTAAATTGAGACTACTATTGAACAGGAGTTGGTATCTCCTGTAGAGTATAGCATATCACTTTAACGTCTAAATCCTCGTGAAAGGCCCTAAATAGCTGATGATAGCACTATATTTTGAAAGAACTATAAAGATCTACTGATCGGATAGGATATATAAGATAAATACGCAAAATAGAGCTATAAGCTATAAATATGGAAAAGTAACAAATGTGTTTATATTAAATGCATAACTAAATAATAATAATCGTAGCTATTTGATTAGAAGAATACGACGAATATTAGACTTTTATATGGCTTGTGACCTAAGATTACATAATAATACCCTTGTTCTTGGCGATGTGGCACCACACCAGTTCACTATTGCGCACTCGACCACTTAACTACGGGGGCATTTGATTACAAGTCTACGAGATTACGTATTATGCATTGGCTATTTGGTTCATATTGCGGTATATATCTCGTGCTTGTCTTATAGGGCATTGAATTGAGTTGTATGGCCTTAAGGGACGCAGGAGATTACAGGTGGTGTTCGACAGCGAGGGCGGCGATATAGCTTATAACATCATACGATCTATTCCGCAGCTTCTCTTTGCACGACATGCCTCACACGAAATAAATATCCCACGATATTCTAAGGCGTCCTCTCCTACGACATATCTCTCCAATGATATAACTCACACGGCGTTCTTCTCTTACGACGTCTTTTTACGACTCTCTTACAACGTCTTAACTCCTACAGTATCCCTTTCCTGCGACATACTTCTATTACATCCCTTGCCTACAGCGTCCTTCTCATATGACGTACATTTCCAATAATATAACTCTTACGGTACCCTTTTACAAGATACATATCTCACGACGTCTCGCGGCGTCCCTCTCTCGACGTACCTCAATGTACAGGGACTCCGATATGCCCACGGCGGCCATAGCATTACAAAGATGCCGCTTACGCTTTGCCTTCAGACTCAAAGTGGTTAATCACCATTACCACGTAGTCCTTTAATTGGATCCAGTCCTATATCGAAAGGTAGAGCACCGGAGACTATCAGAGGCCTAAGATTTAACTACAGGCGGCAGCAAAACTACTCCCCGGCTTCCCAATGCCCAAATTACTGCTTCCTCGCTACGCGCTAGGCTCCCAACAGCCCGTGGCGCAGAAGAGTAATGAAAAGGCCATCACAGAATTCATGGCATGGTACCATCAGCCCCCGGCAGGCTTTTCTGTAATATAAAGACGTCTAAGGCAACGAAGAATCCGACGCCCTCGAGAGATATGGTGCCGCTCTACCGGAACCTCTCACGGTTATGTCTGCCACGTTGTAAGGGGGAGAATAAAAGAGACCGCAACACGCTTTTTTGACGAGTAGCGGGCCGAACAGACGCAGAAACCAGACCGTAGCGCATAGGCACACAGCCGAAAGGCGATAGGTATAAAAAATGGTGGCCAGTTGCCAAACCAGAGCCCAACAGTGACTCCTGAGCGACCCAACGGAATTTCTCAATAACATACGCTTCTTCGAGGTATGCCACCGATACAAGAGTCCAGGGGACGCCATTAAAACCAACGGGCGGGCAACAACCACTAAAACTCACAGAACCGCAACTAGAGTCTTCTTTACTGAAGACACCGAAAATATGCCCCCGCCTTCTCAAGAATAAAACGCTCCCTTTGCTAACTTACTCCCCAGGACTGCCCGCCCGCCCGCGCCTACGTTAAGGAGCCAACCGGTCGATAGCCGACCCGCATAGGCCGCCTCGGAAATAGACTCTAAAATCCGTACCACGATAGCTCATCTCATCTCATCTCATCTCATCTCATCTCGTCACCCTACCGCAACCAACTTTTAACTACTATTACTAGACATATGTTATTAGGGTGTGCAAACTTGGCTCCGAATAAGGCCCGACCGCACATCGGAAACCGAAACTAGAACTGCTAGTTCCTACAGCAAAACTTGTCTTTTGTATCTGGATCTTGGCTTGTTCCCCCGTAAAAGGATCAGCTATGGACACATACGTTGCCGAGCACAAGCCCAAGCAGCGATGCGAACCGAGACGGTTTGAGACAGTATGCCCTCGGGCTTGGTTTGATTTGTGACATGTTAAGGGTCATACCTTGTATATAGACCTAGATAACTCCATACGCCGTATACCACTAGGGAGGCCTGGCAGTAGGTATTGCCCTCGGCGTTAGATATAACGGCGACGGTCTAACCTAAGAGAAGACGCACAAGGAGAGCTTATAGATGTAGAATTAGCAATTTGACTGTATGATATTGAACTGAACAATGCTGTTACCATCGCCTCGGATAGGCAGTTGGTTCGGCAAATACGGGAGGGAAACCACGCTGATAATAATATCAAGCATGAGCCCAACACCCAAGGCGCTTGTGCCTAATAAGACTACACCTAAGGAGCGTATCGACCAAGACAACCATGACATGGCTGCTTTGCCAGTGGTTCTTCAGAACGAAATAACATATAAGACACCACATCCGAAGTCGTCGATTTGCGTGCCTATATTGCCCATTGTGCCCATAGTTGGTTCCGGCCTAATGATAGGCGATGCCGTAGGCCTAAGCGGTTATACGCCGATGTACATAAAAACAGCTCCCAAAATAAGTAGTCAGTTATGCGACTACAGTAGTTACGTGATATATAAGAATGGAATATATGAGGACCACCTTGCTAACTCATACAGATACTAGACTCATACAGTCAAGAGACCAAATCAATATATCATTCAGCTCATACCGTACCCTTCAGCAATGGGAAGTCCACCGTGGTCGCCCGAAGGGTTCAGAATTCTCCGATAACTTGAACAG